TTGGCAAATCAGGAGATCCAACCACATAAGACACAGGCTACTTTTTGATTTGTTTATTGCTCTGTTCAAAAGGCTAAATCATTCCTCCACACTAGTAAAAGTTCTAAACTTAGCTTATCCCAAAGACCCGAGGTGCAATTCAAAGTTGAGCTGTGTAATAATTTTCAAAGTAGGTTTCCTCTGCCCTCATTGGGCACCGTGTAGCATAAATGGTAATTAGAAATGAACAAGGCATTGGTTAAATTAAGCTACAAGCCTCAATACATAGATAGAACAATATTTTTAGGGTAAAATATTTCACTTGGATATTCTGCAAATATAACAGATTCAACAAATGATATGAAACATCTGCTGAGGGGTTTTTTGTAGAAGAAAAACAGGAACTGCACTTCATCACAGAATAACCTTTACCAGGTTAACCGTCTTCCACAATAAAATCTGTTTCCAGACTCATTTCAGGTTGGCATATGTCTAACCTATTTTTAAAAACATCCATTTTGGATTCCTTAATTTCTTTCTGAGGAACATAGAGCCATACCATGTCTCTGTCATCTGTCATTGTTTCTTCTTACTGAAGACTGCACACAGTCTAACGAAGTTGTACAGTTGTTCATAGCTCATTGGGATACTATTTTGTGCATTATAGTTATCAATGAATTCTTGAAAAATAGGCAGTTTTCTACCTATTGTGCCGCAAAGCAAATCAGTCTGGCACCCTGCAGATTACTATACACATGACAATAGCCTTTGTTAGCATAATGTATTATAATGCATTATGTAGTGGGTCTCTGAGGTTTAGTAATCCCTGTCAGCAACCAGAATAAATGGAAATAGCTTCCAGGAGATGCAAGGCCTATGAAAAGACTGTTATTTTTCAAGAACTAGAAGCATTCGGACTCACACATGCAGCCTTTGAAACAAAATCTCATGAACAATCTTTCATCACAATCATTTGTGAAAGTCAAATGCTATAATTGTACTTAAGAGAATAAAGAGAAAATGAACTGAACACTAGCAGTTCTGTACTTTCCCTATTGAAAAAAAAATATTTGGCATATTCTCTTAGGCTTGGTGACAGCAGAAGTTTTTAATTTTGACTTTTGAATATGATTAGACATGGAATTTGTTAGCTGAAGATAGCCAGGTTCCACATAAAAATAGGCACACCTCTTAGAGGAGGGTGTCTAAGCCACAAGTGAGAGCATTTTCTACTTCAATGCACAACTGTATTGAAAAAAAAAATCATTAATATTAGACAACAGAGCATAACCTGCATGGGATGAAGGTGCACCAGGATTACTGAACTCTTGAAGCCATAACTCCCATGCAGACTGGGAAAGGCATCTCTTACACTACACTTACCCTGCTTTTTATGCCCTTCCCCTCGGCATCTCCCAGTGACCTTTAGCAGAGAGATAGTACTAATCTAGCTGGAGCTTTGATGTGAGCTAGTACAGCTGCACTAGTTTCCTTATGGTGCTGTGAGCTATTGATATATTTAGTAAAGTTTTTCAAATTTTACTAGTGTAGAACAATTGAGGGCAAAATACCAAAACCCTCCAGATCAATTGAAGTTACTAAAACATCTTCAGAAATGCTTAGCTAACAGTTGTTGATACTATAAATGATACATACCACTGTCTTTATGCAGAACTGCTTATTGTCTGTAACATTCCCCTCTTCTGTTTACACCTTCATTTCTTCCTGTATTTTTAAAGCACTCATCACTGGTTAAATGATCAAAGGCTTTAACAAAACTATCCTTTAATGTCATGCTGCACTTATACCATAAGGCATCAAAAAATCAAATAAGCTCTGTTGCTAGAATTCCACAAGAAAAATCCTTACACCCAAAGCACTGAAATGCTTTGGCCTCAGCAGAGTTGCCAAGTACAACACTCAACAGCCAACTGCAATTGCAGCCTGAAGCTGCAGTGCCACTCTGCATGTACATTGCTTGCCTCTGCAGAAGCTTTCACTGTTTAGTCTTCATCTCTTGATTAGATTAAATGAAGGTATAGCTGTAACCCTAATCAAGCCATTTATTCTATATTTAACCTTGCAGACATGCACAGAAATGCAAGTGGGGCGAGAAAGTGTTAAATTAGGAGAAAGATAGGAAACATCCTATTGGTAAATCTACTTCCTAAAATCTTTCCTCATCTGAGTCACAGGAAGTTAGCACTGCTTATTCCAGTAAAGCCAATCTTTAATTGTCTGTGCCATGTTTTTCTGGGCTACTGTTACCATCTTCTCCAGTCTTTTGTCAAGCATCACCTTTTACCAAGGTAATGGCAAACATCCTAAAGACCAATCAGAATCACAAAAAGCTGACTTCATCCTATTTTCAGAATACGCCATCTGTAACAAAATCAGCAGCTGAAATACCTTCCTGCTTTGCATGTTTAGTGTTATTCTTTGCCTGAAGTAGAGCCTGGGTTTTTTCCACTACATTTTGTCTTTGAAGCAGTAAAGTTGCAAGCACTCAAGGATTTAAATTCAGAGGGCTTGAATGATGCAAAGCATTAGTTTATTTTCCTGATGCTTTGTTCCCTCTGGGCATTGAGAATATCATCTCATAAGATGATAGAGAGGGCTCCCTTAGCAAAATGAAACTAGTTGTCAGTACTGCAACCAAAAAGATGGAAGGATGCTGAGACAAAAATAGAAGGTCCTTCTGCTGCCGTGCTTCACCTCCTCAACCTGCTTATTCTTGAGCTTAGCAATCTTTACCCATCAGCTGCTGTAAAAGTGCTCTTTGAAGCCGTTTACCAGCACAACTCTCTGCTGATCAGGGGTGGGGAAGACTGCAGTTTGCAACAGCTGAGGAGGAATGACCACACACCACCCGGGTGTGAGTCATTCTCCCTGACTGGCAAACTGACCTTACTCCAGTGGGAGCGGGGTGGAGGTTGACTCTGTTCTTATTAGGGCCAGAAGGAAACCTTTGGAGAGCAGAAATGAGTACCATACCTTTGGTCACTCATTGCTTGCCTGTCTAACCATATTCAGCACTCTCAAGTGGCTGTTGAAGAGGGAAAGACTGCTCTGTTTGCCTTTTGCTGGCAGTGGGCAGGCTCTGCTGTTAGCATGCACGTATGGAATCTGGCAGCAGCAGCAACTGCACTGCTCATTAGGACACTAAATGGCACTGTGCAGTGCAAGCAGTGTGAAGGTCCTTGCTTTCATGAAAACAGCAAATTATAAGTGAAGAATGGACATCTTTGTATCTTTATTTATTTGGCTTTGAAGAAAGATTTGACAAAATATTCCCTGTATGACTGCTTTAGGGTCATTCGCAGTGAGAGTACAAGTGACTGCAGTCTGCCTAAGGGTGTCTCCAGCAATGAAAGAATTCACTCTGTTGTTGTACAGTTACTTTTTAATAACTGAATTCTCAACCACACATTCCCCTCTGCTCTAGATTGTCCCCTCTGCTTCAGTCATACCCTGTACAAGTAGATTGGCACAAGAAGTGCTCAGTTCTTTTGTCTTCTGCTCTTACCTTCTTCCACTTACTGTTCTCTGTAGAGGTGATGGAGATATACTCCAAGACAGCATCAAATTAGTCAAGTAAAACATGCAATTGTAACAAAAAGATAGTAGTTCCTACCCTAAGAAGTGGAGAAGAAAACTGAAGATGGACCTTTATGCAGGAAGGTGAAATGTTTTGTTCACCACACAGAGAGACAGAACATGGAACCTCCCACAGGCCTTGGGAAGCTTCTGCAGTCTGGGTGCTTGGAAGCTAAAAAGAAAGGACAATTTTTAACACCGTACCAAAGAATGAGAATGAAATCCCAGCTGTCTCAGAGATGGTAGGATTTCAGAGACTAGTTTGAAAAGTCATCTGAGCATGTAGGGCTGTGACAACTGGATTAAAAGAAAAGAGCTAGCTGCTATGATACTAAGTGGTAGGCTAAATTATAACAGAGTGGTTATAGAGTCTTACACACTATATTGTACAGCCCATGTGCATAATTTACAGGGTACACAGATTTGTAACCTGACAAGAGGAGTGCCAGAGCATTTAAGGTCCCCAGTTTTGCACCATTCAGTCAGCTTACTTCCTTAATATTCACTTTACAATAAATAACAATATAAGAAGAACAAGAATAATTGTTACAAGAATATTGTTACAAGAATAACAATAAGAAGTAATTTTTAAAATCACAAAATAAAATTAAATAACAAGGTAGTTATACCTGAAGGTACACTTTCTTATAGGGAAAGTCCTGTAAGGATTGTCATGACTGTTCTTCACTGAGTGCCTTGAATTGAAGCCAGACCTGCAGCTGCCAAAAGCCCCTTCAGCCCAGATGGAAACCTCAGGACTGACCAAAAAAATTAAACAGCATGTACTACAACTGTACCAAGTGCCATGGGTTTTTTATGGAAATCTTCCTTTCCTGTATGGACTAAACAGCACACTCTTTTAATGAAAACAACAGGACTCAGTGGATTTGTAGCCTGAGAGCACCATGTCTGCAGGACTGTGCTGAACACCTTTGCCTTGCTATCAGACTTATCGCATACCAACAGTACTCTTTTCAGCAGCAAATTTAAACCCCTAGTCTTAGATTCAGGTCAGATCTCTGGATCTTGGAGGACTTCAAATCTTTAGTTACTGAAAAATTTGATAATCTGTTTAGGAGTACAAGTGTTTTAACCAGATCAAGTGCTGTAAAAATCTGGGGTTTCACTGTTTGGATAACAATAGACCATTCAAGTACAACCACTTGCAGAAACCATAAAAATTCTTTCTCTATGCATCACACTTGGATGTGAGGAAAATTAAGAGTAGGAATTGCTTCTGAAGTTAAGGTATCCATCTTATGTACACGTGTATTTGAATGAAAGCTGAATATAAATATATAGTTTGTGTATTTACCATTAGTAATCTACTCATAAGTAAACAAATATTTTAGTCAGAGAGGGCCTACCTTTTCTTGTGCTTCCCTTCTGAAATATAAAGATTTTTTTAATTTTGTTCTTTCTAGCTCTGTTTTGTGATGTTTTGGACGCCAAACGTGTCAGAGAAGATTTTAGTTGACATAATTGGAGTAGACTTCGCTTTTGCAGAGCTGTGTGTCGTTCCTTTGCGCATCTTCTCCTTTTTTCCACTTCCAGGTAAAAAAATAAACGGAAAATCAAAGTTCTGTAACCTCAGGGGCTCCTTCAGAGCATAAGCATTGTATAATAAAAGTTAATACTTCTATCGAAGAGCAAGAAAAGCTGGACAACCATTATCAAAATGTTTCAGATTTCTAGCTCTGTAATTAAATACATCTTTTAGTGTTTTCTGTTTATATTACAAGACAGTTTCATAATAAAGGTAAATTACAAATACAATAATAAGTACATGTAGATACCCTTTTTGTGCCTGTCACGTCATGTGCCACACAGGAGCCAGATGGAAACTTTTCCATGGTAGAACTTCTCTTTAAGGAAGGGGATAGCTTGGGGTTTTTTTAATGAAGAAAACAGAATGGACTGACCAATAAATTGGTTTTAAGAGAACAGCTCTTAGAGAACAGCTCATTTTTCTTGTTTCTTCATTTTCCCAAATCAGTATATTAGAGCAATTTGAACATAAGATCTACTTCCTTTCTAGTAGGGTGCAACATTACCAGCAGTAAGTTTTGTAGTGGTTATTCCTGAACAGTGCTCTCTGCATGGAAAAACTGCATATGAAATGACTGATTTTATTTTTTTTACTATTCTTGCCTCTTTTTCTCCCCTGTTTATGAACAGTGACTGTCAGAGCACACTTGACTGGTTGGCTGATGACTCTGAAGAAGACATTTGTGTTGGCACCCAGCTCAGTGCTGCGGATTATCGTCCTCATCACCAGTCTCATCGTGCTGCCTTACTTAGGGTAAATCATTATTCCTCACAGAACCCCTGGATTTGCTGTCCTCTTCATTCCTCTTCCCTGTCACTTGATAGCTGAATTTGCATAGTTCGGAACATTTTCTCCAAATACTAACCATGATACAAAGCCTAAATAGTGTCACTATCTGGAAGAGAAACATTTATAAATTTACAAGTGTGACTGCTCTAGACAGGCACAATAGTGATGTTCCTTTGGAAAAAATACACCAATGTCAAAGAGGCAAAAATGTATCTTAAGGGGAATTTATTTCCATGTTATTAAACTCACTGTTAAGAAAGCTAATGGAACAATATCTTGTTTATAAGTTTAATAATCTATTCTCCAGCACACTGTACAAGACTTTAAATTCTTAGTCCATAATTTGATTCAGTGTGCTTCTTTTACTAAACAGTGTAGCCATTAAAAACAAACAAGTCCTTTAAAATACCAGTTATTCTCTTAGGCAGTGTATTGTGTCTCTGAAGAAAATATTTCTATCATCAGATTGGTTATATACGCCAGTGAAAATGTAATTATGAATCATGCATTCTCACACAACAATGACTGCTTTCTTTCTATGCCTCCAACAGAGTTCATGGAGCCACTCTTGGAGTAGGATCCCTTCTCGCTGGTTTTGTAGGAGAATCCACCATGGTTGCAATAGCAGCCTGTTACGTCTATAGGAAGCAGGTAAGAATTAGTCTCTGTGGGATCTGATGAAAGCAGGTGGTGAATGTAGTGAATTTTAGTTCAGATTAAGTTACACTTCAGCAACGTAACTTTCCAGAATCCTCACTTTGGTTTGCTTGCCTGTCAAGTCTCAGGAGTGTGCAGCTTGGAAAGTGTTTGGGTTGAAATAAAACCAAAAGGTCCCCTCCAGCTGTTAATGGACACCTAGGCCATGGGACATGCTGGTCTGCAGTCAGAGACCTCTTGCTCCTCAAAACACATGTATCATGGATATCCTGTCCTTACCACCAGCACTTTTGCACTGTATATTTGCTGCTGCAGTACGGCTTAGCACCTTTATGTAGGCACAGGAACTACTCATCCAAGCTTACAATATGTGTATGTATGTGTGTATACAATCATAGAATCACTGAATCACAGAATGATAGAATGCTTTGGGTTGGAAGAAACCTTAGAGTTCCAATGAGTTCCAAGTTCCTTCACATGGAAGGTGTTATGTAGAGTTACATAGAGTGCACATTTACATCTGTAGGTATACACTATGTAATACATATATCTCTGTATTTATACATTTTATTTCTTTATAAAACCAGCTCTGCTGAAAATCAACAAGTACAGGTGCTTATGGTTTTTTGCCATCCAGAGGAGTGGCTTAAAACAAGACTACTCCTGCAGCAGTTGACAGTAAGAGCTTATAAATAATTAAACAGGTGCTTTTTTGCATACTTTAAACACTACAACCCTGCATGTGTGGAGCAGTGGTGAAACATGGATTTTGAAGAAGATTCCACTAAATTAGGTCAAACACAAGATAAATATTGGCTGGGTGACTGGGTACATTGCAGTACCTGGATGTTGCTCCCTTTCAGTTATATGTTCATGGCACCATGTAGGGCACTAGGTCCAGCTCCAAGCAGAACCAGCAAGGTGTGTACATCATTCTGTAGTACAGAAAGACTCTGTGGATGGAAACAGAAAATATAATCCATGCAGTGACTTTTTTTTAAATTAGACTTCTTACAAAGTGCCAAGTGGAAATACCCACCACTTCTATTTTTGGAAAAAAAAAAAAAAAAAAAAAAAAAAAACAAACAAAAAAAAAAAAAACAACAGCCAAACTACAGAAGATGGAATATCTAAAAGCCTTGTATTGGAACAACCTAAAACCAATTTTGATATGTGCTGACAGTACAGGCCATGGCAAGATATCAAACTGTGCAAGGTTCATAAGGCAGTAGAAGAATCATAATGTCTGTCATGATTAATTTGTCATGTTTGCCTTGGGAACCAAGGAGAAAAACTTTAAGACACTGAAATGGCTTGTCTTGACCTTTGGTTTCACAACATCCTCATTACTAGTTTGTTACCATAGTAGCTCACAGAGTCTTTCTGGCCAAGGACATTGTGCTTAATTTTTCTCAGCAGTGAGTGCAGGTAGTAGGAGTAATAACTGTGCCAACCTAATTTATTCTTTATTCAGTGTGACAGTGGCAGAGCCAACCAGTAGCTCTATTACACCAGGTTGTTCTGACCTGCAGTTGGAGAGCTGCAGATCAAATGTTATGTAGACACCTCTGAAATTTTGGAACTCTGATACACTCATCTCAGCTGAATCAATAATACCTGTGGGGGATATTTTGTCAGCTGCACAATTGTTTTCAGTAAAACTAGTCAGCCTGCTGAGAAATGGGTAATAAGGAACAGATGCTTCAACTTGTTTTTTAGGGGGCTGAACTCTTCTTAGCTTTACTAATCCAGGACATCCTGGATGAATCATAGGACTCTTGAATGACCTCCTGCTCCTGCTGGCCAAAAATACTCTAATATTACTTTGCTTTGGTGAGGCAAGAGATTACAGTGGATCAGCAACACTAAGAAAAGCCAGAATGCTCACATCTTGTAAAATTCCTGAAGTCTGACATTTGAGAAATTAGGTTGCCACCTCGCCTCCCTCCCTAGAGAAGCTTTTCTTCTCTCACTTTTTGTTTTCCTTCCTTTTTTAAAATAAAAAGTCTGTGATGTAAAAGATTCCAGATGCTCTCTTCCCTCCAGTCTTGCTGAAGCTTGTTTTGGATGTCGCTTAGCATAAGAAATGCCTGATTGCATTTATGTTAGAAAGGAGAAAACTGAGCCCCAGAAAGGCCATGGAAATCTTCTGAGTTAAGCCAAGTCATTAGTGGCAAGCCACAAATATGACACAAATATTATAGTTTTTAATAAAATACACTAACAAACCATATTTTCACCTCACTTCTCCCAGTGTCCAGAGTTGATGGGAGTGTGATCATGCACAATTTACTGATAGGTTTCTGGGTGCTTGTTTCAATCTAGAAAAAGAAGAGGAATGAGAATGAGACAGCTGCAGAAGGTGAAGACTCTGCAATGACCGACATGCCTCACACGGAGGAAATGACAGACATCGTAGAAATGAGAGAAGAGAATGAATAATAAATGGGATGCAATTGTTCTCTGCAGGGACGATTGGAGTGACGCTTCAGCATCTTGTCGTCTCTCATACTTTTTTGTTTGTTTGTTTTTATTTTTGTAATAAAGAGGCCTTGATTTAAAAGGTTTCAGATAAATTCTCTAGCATACTGAGTATGCTCTCACTGATGAGGGACCTAAAAAGAGGTCTTTGCTTCTTTTTTTTTTTTTTTCCAATTGAATTTTTTTTTTTCTCACTCCATGCAAGCGTAAAAGATACAATTGCATCACTGTAGAGTCTTCCTTCCTTATGCATCCACCTTCTCTGGACAATCTGCATTTGTCAACCAAAGCCCTGCTCCTGTGCGCCTGTGCGTGTGCGGACCTGCGCTCGCACGCTCGCACACGCACACCGCCACGTGCCACTGGCTCAATGCTACTGCCATAACCCCACTCCCTCCCCTCTCTCCTTTTCCTTCCTTTTCTTTATGAGAAATGGAAAAGAAGTTTGGAATACAGAGCTTTATTTTACTTGCTTGAAAATGACTTTGCTACATAAACTAATATACTATGGTGAACTATATCTTTTTGTTTGGCCTCATCACTAGAGCTTATACTGCACAGGGTACAAGACAGGGAGGAACTTGGGAGTCTCCCCATAAAAAGTGGAGAAAAACATGTTCCTCTCTCATGTTGAAAGTGTGTGGATGTGTATATACACACACAGGTACATGAACAGAGACATACATATATATATATATATATTTATATATATATATGCATACGATAAATAAAATACACACAGGACAAGAACTCTATTTAGCTTTCATTCCATCAGAAAGATAGTAATCTTTTGAAAAATATAAACATTTAATTCAGAATTTTCTTGAATCATTAAGTCCCACCTTACATATAATTTTCTTTAGGAAAAAAAACATGCACTTTCCTCTTGTGAAGAGGGTGATGGCAACTGCTAGACTTTGACTGTATTTGAATAAAAGAAAAATAAATATTGACAAGCTTTACCAAAGTTCTTGTCCACTGACCTAACTTTAATTTTTAAAGGTTGATTTGTTCTCTATAATTATTTCTGGTGCCTCTATATTAAAAAAGAATAAGATCAGATAATGTATGCAGGATACCATGCTAGATAATATTACTACACATAGTTCCATGAAATTTTTTATATAGAGATGTACACATACGTGTGTGTGCATGTGTATACTTACTTCTATACACATGCACACACACACAAAGAAATGTGTGTTTTGCTATAATGTATTTACCTATGCAGTAGATCAAAATCCATGTGGTGAAGCTCAAGTACTGATGGTCCTCCAAGCTGAAAATTAGGGACTTTGGTGACCTGTCAGCTCTCAAGGCAGCGTTGTGTGGGAGCGAGGAGCCATCCACATCAGCCCCGTGGAGCTGTGCTTGTGGCTGGAGTGCGCCTTAAATAACAGCCTGAGGTCGGGTGGGAGACTCAGGCTGGGTGGAAATGAAGGCTGTGTAAGAGGTGAGGGAAGCAGAGATGTTTTGGGTATCACCAGTGCTGCTGTGGCAGCAGTTTGTGTTTCTGTGCTCTTCTGTGTTTGGCTGCGGGGCAGCACTTGTTTCTGGTCTGTAGTAGCTTGGGTCCTTTCAGATTTAATCATGTCAGAGTCTGGAAACCATTATCCTCCATCCTATATCCATAAATCAATTAATTTAAACCTTATTTAGTAAAAGTATATTTTTCTAAGTTGTGGAAATTATTATTTAATTGTGGACAAATTATGTTTCTAGATTTATTTGCCAGGTAGTCCCAGCAGTCAGAGAACTGATCAAAACTAAACATTACTTTAAATGTTTTATCAGTATATGTGTATGTAGACATACACATGTGTATAAATATATATATATATTGTATATTATGTACATTTATTTTAAACTACAATAAGTTTCCTATTTTTCCAATTACAGCTAAAAATGTCTCTACAAAACTACTGAGTTGACTAGTAACCAGTTATGGCCATCATGAAAGGCATTGTATCAATGAACTTTACATTTTATTGGAAATATTTGTACCAGTTTGTTACATATGCAAATACAATAGGAAAAAAAAATTAGAAATTACTGTGTTAACTGACAGATTTGCTAAATCAGTTTACGGTTAATGAGCAGTGGCACTAGAAGGGTAAGGCTAAAACCAGTAACCATGTTTGCTGTGTCACCACAGGGTAATACTTTTTGACAGTAGATTAAAACAAAATCTTTTTAAAAAACCCTCAGACAAATTAATGTGTGCAGGATGTAAACTGTACACATTCATGAATACAGGTTCTCAAACAGTCATATGTATATAATGTGTATATAGACAATTACAGATCACAGTGGCCATTTGAGGTCTTCTCTATTCATGTAGTTTTGGTTTCTCCAGTACATTTGTCTCCAAGTCCACAAGATGCAGTTTTTCAGGAACTGTAGAGATGAAGCACGAAAATATTTTTGTGTAATGTTTGTATTTCTTTTAGTACATGACTAAAATTCAAACAGCAGTACTTCTGAAAAATTTTGAGCCTTACCAATGTAGGTTTCAAGGTAATGATTGCACCAAAAAGTAAAAATCTGAAAACAAAGGATAACACTGAGGCTTGTACTATAGATAAAAGATAAACAAATTTTTAAAAATTAATTATTGGTCATACAGAGCTAAACTAATAGCACTGTAAAAGATAAATTTTCAATTGTGTGTGTAATACTTACTAGTCCTTTACTTTGCAAGATACTGAATGAGCACAGGAGTGGTGGGATTTGGGCAAGAATTGAAGCAGTGACATAAGGACACATGCATTGCATCTCTTTCTGCTTCCTGCAGGTCATGTATTTCTTTACATTTCTCTGCTGGATTAACAAAATGTGATGACATTTCTGCAGGGAGTGGGTCCCAGCCAGCCCCTCGTGCTGGTCCCGCTGCTGGGCAGGCAGGGTGCTCAGCGAGGAGGGAGCTGTCCCTCTGTCCCTTGCAGATACCAGGCATGCTTCTGGAATGTTGGCAGGAGCTTCAGCAACCTGCTGAAACCTCCTGCTCTCTGTTAGTGGCAAATTGAGCTGGGCTGGTGAAGCAGCCAGTGTGGTGGGCTACAGGTTGGGAGTGGGCAGACATCCTCTGCAGCCAGAGCCCCGGTCAGAGCATCACTGATAGTGTGTCTGTAAGGTAGATGCTGGCACATGCCCTGTCCTGCACTTCTTCCTTTCCAAAAGTACTTCCTTGAGTTCTAGTGCAATGGCTTAGCCGTGTCTCTCTTGTGCAGTTGTTTATGAAATGGTTGTCTATCTCTGTGGTAGTTATTTTGCAATAGAAACCCATCCTGTTTCTGTGTCAGAGAGCTGGAGCACCGTCATCTCAGTGAATTCATGTGGAGACTTGGCCTTTCCAGACTGAATTACACAATTGAAGTTACAATAAAAAGAGGAAAAAAGTTGATCTGCATCATACATCTTGTATTTCAGAGCAGCTCACACAGAGGGAAATAAGAGCAGAACACTGATAAGCTGTGGATTAATGTTCCTCAGCTTTTAATAAGTACATAAAGTTGTGATAATGTGTCTTGAGCTTTCGTTTTTCAGAATTAAGAGAAAACATTGCAGGTTTTTTCCCCTCCCTGCCCTAAGCAGGCTCTCCAAGCACGGGACTTGATGGACAAAGCTCTGCATCTCTCAGCCGGTGCTCGAAGCCATTCGGGTGCAGCAGCGGGTTCCCAGGCGTGGGGCAGTCCTGCTCCCCATCCCCCTGGCACAGCCGTTCCAGGCAGGAGGGCTCAGATCCCTGCTTGTTTAGGTAGAGCCGCCCTAAGTGAAAGGATTGGGTAAGTAACAGAGAAGTCTTCTTGTTTTCCACTCATTTTGCTGCTAAATATTTCCTTTGAGCAGGAGATTTATATCTGGCTCTTGCCCGGTGTTTCACCAAATCTGCAGCCAGAGCGAAGCAGCCCCAGACGGAGGCTTGGCTGATGAATGCAGCTGATTCAGGGCAGGCCACGGCCCATGAACAGAAACCTTTTGAAGGCAGGAGCGCCTTCTTTTATGGGATGGCGCCGCGTGCTTAGAAAGAAGGCAGAAAGGATGCTTTCAGGCCGGGCAGCCAGAGGCGTCAGGCATGGTTTGGTGTTGGGCTGCAAGGTGGCAAGGGAAACAGAGCATCCTGCACTTTGGGCATCCCAGCCCCGCTGCTGGTGAAGTGCAGGACACTGGGGGCATGGCGAGGGGCAGCATGGGCTCCGCCTCTCACCGAGGGCTTGTGGTTGTGGCGTGGTTGGCAGAGGCTCGAGTGCAGCTGGTTGTTTCCTGGGGACAGTGGCAGTAACCCTTGGAAAGCCTTGGAATACGTGTATGGGTGTGTATATGAGAGTGCTGCACAGGCAAGTTTGTTATGACCTTTGGATTGTTCCTTGGAACAAGGGTTCAAGTCTAAACATGATCTCAATGTGGGACTAACGCTAAGCCATTTTTAAAAATTGCAGTTGAAGCTACACAAATGAGTAAATGAAACAGCAGACCTTATACCATTAAGCTAAAATATGATTTAGATTAGTGAGCTGGAATGGGAGAGAAAGAGGACATGTTGAAAATCTTAAAGATACTGTATATCCCTCCTAAAGACAGCAGGATGGTGTGGAGATGAGGGAATCAAAGGGCAGAAAACACCATTTCCCTTTCAGCTGCCCTGGAGAGGGACTGAGGATGAGGAGTAGTGTGTCTGTGTAACACCACTTCTGAGTATGCTGGTTTCCCAGTAGAGGAGCCTTCAGAGACAGGAGTGTGAAACATCTTCGAAGATGATTCAAGCAGAAATAAAGCAGCATGCAGGTTTTATAATGTGCAGTAAGGAGGCACTACGTGTCTTCCAGTTTCTGAGTAAATGGCAGGGCTGCATTGGGGAAATGTCACTTAAGTATTAATTAAATATGATAAAATGATCACAATTTTGGTAGCAAATTAGCAAGTCCCAAATACCAGCTTAACCATAAAATGTTAGGATTCCCTTCCCTTTTTCAAGTTTGGCTTTCTACTGAGTACAGCAAACCATCTATTTTGAAGGAAGTAAGGTCCTGTGGAGGGCTGCAGTGCAGAACAGGCTGTGGGGGGTTGTGGTAGAGTC